TTTTTGGAGATGGAGTCTTGCTCTATTGCCCAGGCTAGAGTGCAGTGGTGCAATCTCAGTTCACTGCAACCTCCACCTCCCAGGTTGAAGCAATTCTCTTGCCTCAGCCTCCCAGGTAGCTAGGATCACAGGTGCCTACCACCACGCCTGGCTAATTTTTGTAATTTTAGTAGAGGCAGGGTTTCACCATGTTGGCCAGGCTGGTCTGGAACTCCTGACCTCGTGATTCTCCTGCCTCCCAAAGTGCCGGGATTACAGGTGTGAACCACTGCACCCAGGCGATAAATCACTTCTTAGCCATTGTTAACTGCCACTTGTTAACTGGCAGTTAACAATGTGTTTTATTACCAGGAGAGTTTAGGCAAATCCCTGTATGGCTCTAACGGACTGCGTTTCATGTTGTTTCAGTCACTTGAAATTCACATTGCTTCCATGTTAAGTACACGTTTCTACTCAAATGCAGAGTTGCAGCTTAAGTGTCACCTTTTTTGTGGACTCTTCTCTGGGCTTGGACACCATTAGCACTCTCCTTTGCTGGGTCAGAATCTCAGGTAAACTGCTCTGTCACAGCACACCATAGATAGTTACATTTCTCACTCCTCATTTCTGCCTCCCCAATATGCTGTGTTTCAGAAGCAACTGCTCTATCCTTGTTGAATAAATAAATCAGTGAATGACTGAGTTATTTCAAAATTAATAAGGCACTCGTAAAGCATCAACAGACTTTCCATCAGAGAAAATATTTGTCAACTTGAATGCCATTTGAACTCTGCTTTCGTTCTTAGCTACTTCCATTGAGAAGCCAGGACAAATTGCTAAGCAAATATAGTACAAATCTGTCCCTAGGTTTGCATGTAGGCGAGAAAATTTCAGAGCACAAAATAGGGTCTGTTCCACTGTCTATTCTGTTGACAAGGAAGAGTCACATAGATTATTGCATGGTCAGTACTATGCTTCTTGTCCTTGGTCTTAAATGATGACCTATCTTTCAATGACAATCATGTGAAGGATTTGAAAACTAGGAATAAAACATTGAACAGTTACAAGCATCTGGTACCAGAGTGCCCCCTTTTGGCCATAAGCATACCGAAGCTAAATGTTAAGCTCCTAAAATGAAAGCTCAGTTGCCCAAAGAACACTTTGCTGTGCTAATTAACACATTTTCCATTTAGTTTCATTTTTTGTTTATACCCTTCTTTATCCATTCCATATTGATATGCAGAAGCTTTCCAATTACAAAAAGATAAAATTACATAAATAAGGAAATCAAGGTAAGAGAAATTTGGGAATAGCTAAGTAAGATAAAACCAGAAAGCTTTCTCATTTAACAAGAAAAGAGAAAAATGACCATAACACACAAGTTGTCACTTTCTACTACTTGAAACTTGGCATGGACTGTGTGAGAGCTGGAGAGTAAAGATCATCAAAAACATTTTTCTTGCCAGGAACTTTGTGCCTTGCTATTCAGCTCACAGGGCTGACCATGGTTCCAGGACCCCTGCCTTGTAGCTGCAGAGCAACTAACTAAAATTTAATCATTTCCTGATTTTAAATCACCTTGCACTTTTAGCCAAATACCATATATATATACATATATATATATATATTCTAGTATGGTTGAAGTGAAAATGTATTGGGCTAAAAAAAAATATATATATATATATACATACACACACACATACACACACACACACACACACATATATATACATACACAGACACATATATGTATTGGCTACAATGTACACAAGTTATACAAATTATGATCAGCGTTTGAACAGGCGAGCATTTTCCTGAACTTTCCTGGCAACCAAAGTTATCTGGTGGCTGGGTATTCTAAATCCTCATGATATTGAATAAGTAAATTATCTTGTGCAATTCATTATGCCCAAGATACTTTCTCAACATACTTCCTGAAGACAGCACTGAGGGTAGCCAGTATCTTCGTAGACTTCATGTTCTCTGTGTCTAAGCCAGAGCCCTTGAACATAGCAGAGGAGGCACTGCACACTGCTGGGGATATATTAGGTGCCAAGGATACAACAGGTGTAGGGGAGGTGACAACTTATGTATATTTAAGCAAATCTTAAATATTTCTTTATACATTTTATTTATGTGTTGTCTTTATACATTGATTTTCTGCCCAAGACCACTGACTCTTCAAAATTCATTTCTCTTTTAATACCTGAACTTAAACTTTAGCTCAAAATTGACAGTGAGGCCAAGTTTCCCTCCTTCCCAATTATGATATAGTATTCCATCCTCTGAGTGAATTCTAGGCTCTTTGCAAATTTGAGGAATGAAAGATGAATCAGACATTTATGAAGCCTGGGTTTGGGATATTTCTGACAGTTGATAACAAGTGGAGAATATGTCATTCTTTCAAATAAGTTGGGACTAAAAAGAGTTGATCTTGAAAGATCCATTCTAGTTAATATGTAGTCCGTTCAGAGGGACCAACAATATATTTGATGTATGGGATAATAGGAATAGGATTAATACACACGTTATACTCGCTCAGATTCCCAGAGCCAGCCATACAATGGCACAGAGCTGGATGACAGTGAGTGATAGTAATGAGGTACAGTAGGTAATGATATCACAAACATGATTACACTTAATCCACACAACAACTCTTGTTGTAAGTGTCATTGGGCCATTTTTGGATATGAGAAAACTGAAGTTCAGCGAGTCAGGTCCTCTAGCATCAAAGCCCAAGACAAAGATTCTCCTATGAGTGATTTTGTGGAACTGCATTCCTGGGGAAGCCCCACAGGGAACAAGGGAAGCAGACTGACAGAGAAGAAGCCCCTCAGAGCATTCAGCTGAAGTCTCGCCTGTGCTGGATTCCACAGACAGCACTGGGGCATGAACAGCACCGTGGCATTGTTTCACTCGGAAAGAAGCAGGATTTCTGTACCCCACGGTTAGTCAATCATCAGCTGTGGGCTGCCTTCAGCAGGAGAACACAACCTCTTAGGCATTTTCCATCGAGGCAGCTCCATGCAGTAGAAGGCAACTATCAAGAGAAGGGTACTGCTATGCTGTTAGCAGCAGCTGGAAAAAGTGTGCCCCAGGCTGGCAGAGGGTATCTAAAGGGCACCAACAGCACTTTCTACAGCGTTTAATTCATTAGCCAAAGCTGATGCAGCTTCTAAATGACGGAGCCAAGATGCAAATCCTAATCTGCTTACGCTTTTGTCCTTAATTACGCAGGTACAGATTAGCCTACTTATCCTACTATTTGAAGCTTTATACAATTAGTGTGGGGTTTTTTTCAGTGCCTATTTTATGGTGCTCAGAGATATGGTGCTCAAAGCCGGAATGGAACTTGTACTGACTGGGAGTGGAACATGGCTCTGCCTTCTTGCATGATTAACCTGGGATCACCAGTGGAGTCCTGGGCCATCCTAACAGTGAACTGAAAAGTTAATGCTTGGTTTTGACTTTTTTTCCCTAAAGGCTGACGAGATGCAGGATGTGATGCATTTTAACTACACTGCATGGCCTGATCATGGCGTGCCCACAGCAAATGCTGCAGAAAGTATCCTGCAGTTTGTACACATGGTCCGACAGCAAGCTACCAAGAGCAAAGGTCCCATGATCATTCACTGCAGGTAACCTCCTCAGCTGTATTCTCTATCAAAAATTAGAGGTTGGTTTTATAAGGGGAATAGTTCACCATTCCATAAGCCCCTGATGAGATGTAATTAAAAATTAAATGAATTCTGATATTTTAAACTAAGATTAATTGATATCTTACTATATACAATATTTATTATGACTATCTTGTATCTGTATAAGATAACTGTTATTATTCCCATTTTTAAATGAAAAAAGTAGAGAAAGGTAAAGATGTTAAGGGATTCACACGAGTTCATGCAACTAGAACATGGAGGGTATAGTATTCAAATCCGGGCATGTTAATCTACAAAGATCATGCTCTTAGTATGTGATATTATCCTACCCCATCAAGGATTCTGAGTAGTTACAACATGGACAAATAGTAGGTCAAATTATAGAAAGCTGGTCACAGCTCGGCATAATATAAATAGAAAAACAAGAAAAGGGGCCATGCACAGTGGCTCGTGCCTGTAATCCCAGCACTTTGGGAGGCCGAGGCAGGCAGATCACAAGGGCAGGAGTTCGAGACCAGCCTGGCTAACATGGCAAAACCCTGTCTCTACTAAAAATACAAAAATTAGCCAGGCATGGTAATGCACACCTGTAATCCCAGCTACTCAGGATGCTGAGGCAGGAGAATCGCTTGAATCCGGAAGGCGGAGGTTGCAGCGAGCCGAGACCGTGCCACTGTACTCCAGCCTGGATGACAGAGCAAGACTCCATTTTCAAAAATAAATAAAAATAAAAACAAGAAAAGAAAAAGAAAAAACGAAAATATTCAGCTTATGAAGATAAGCATGTTTGCTATGGTTCTTCCTCAGCATTTCTCTAAATTTTTAGACAGTAGAATGAAAGAGGATATAGAATATTAAAAAATCAAGGTCCACACTAATTCCCAGCAAGAACCGCTATCATTAAATTTAATTTGTTCTTGCTACTATATGAACGGAGCTGCACCAAAATCCATCTCTGTGATATGATATTACTGTAAAATCCTTATGCAGCCTCAAAAGACTAAGGGACATAAACATCCTCCAATGGCATGTGAGAGCGGGCAGTGGGATGAAGATGTGAAGGGGAGCATCGGCAGCCATGCCAATCTGAGCAAATAAATCTGTAATCTCAGATCTACTGCCTTGGCCACTGTGAATTAGAATGGCTAGAATGCAGATGTGTGTGTGTGCATTCATGTGTGTTTGTGTGGAGTGTGTACCTCCCTGGAAAGGAAAATGCCTCATAAGCTACTAAGTTTTGTTTAGGGCAGATCTCATTGCTGTCAATCCACTGCAGTCATTTGCAGGTTAAAAGATGTGCTATGGCAGATAAGATTATCTGTTCTAAAAACAGTCCTTTCCAAGAGCAGAAAATGAAGCTGTTCAACTCTGGGGTCAAATTCAAAGATTCTTTTTACGGATGATAGCAAGTGCAGTTCTGCATATGACTTTACAGCTGCTCACCCAATGGCAGATCATTTTATCTGAGAAATCCCAGGAGGAAAGAGTTGTCTAGTAGAAGAAGCAACTTTGAACTCCAGGTTTATAGAGTGGGATTTTTCTAGCAAACTTATCATGTAAATTGGCTTGAACTTTCTCTTTTCCCATAATTTCATAGTAATTCAAAGTTTAGAGCCATTTGGCTTTTTGTAGAGGATTGGAATAAAAGAGCTGACTTTAACACAGAATTAGGGCTTGTGGTGGGCAGTTGGCCAGGGCCTGTCAGTCCACTTCCACCTGTGCTCTAAGTACTGGGATTTGGGGACTGGCTGAGACTGGGTCCAAATATTTCATTTGATTGTAAGGCAACTATCTCAGAGGTCTCTGGGAGATGGGAGCGGGCCCAGGACCCACTAAAAGGGCAGGAGCACTGTAAGGCAGGTCTGGGATGGTGAACTGAACTTAGGGTTGAAGGTACACAAATCTCTGTGGCCCCAGAGCTAGAGTTAGGGTGTGGACATCTCAACTAGACTTTTGAGCTGGTCTGAGGGCTTAACTCTGAGGCTGCTCAAGACAGGGCACTGTGTACATGTATCAGCTCTCTGAAGGCAGAAATCAACTCTCCAGAGTACTCAACATGGAATCACTACTTTTCTCCAGAAGCAGAGACCCCGAAAAAGGGTGTGGTCAGCACAGTGCAAATCTCTCTCAGGAAGGCAGCCATGCCAGTCAGAAATATGAAGGAACAGCTGCATACTTAAAAATCAGTTAAGTGGAAAGTACTGTCAGGAGCTTAGTCTTCTTTTGTCCACAGTGATGCTATCTGTAGTTTTTTAGAAATCACCAGTTCTATTTCAACAGTGAAGAAGTGCCATCTGAATAATGTGCCTTCGGAACATTCTTTCGCAGTGCTGGAGTGGGACGGACAGGAACATTCATTGCCCTGGACAGGCTCTTGCAGCACATTCGGGATCATGAGTTTGTCGACATCTTAGGGCTGGTGTCAGAAATGAGGTCATACCGGATGTCTATGGTGCAGACAGAGGTAGGAACATAATCTATATGTTTTTTTTCAATTTTCCCTGGGCTGAAAAACTTATCATCATTCAATGATGTGCTTTAAAACAATTCTCTCAAATTTCTTTGTATCTGTCTTTCCCATTTTCTTATTGTATATGTTCACACTGCTTTGAGGTATGAAAGAAAGGTAGAGGCCTGCAGAAATGCATCTGGTGTATAGTGATTACACTTTTATTGGCATCGTAATTCAGAGTGCATGGGTGGATTTCTGAGACTCAGAGTCAATTGCAGATAACAGCCATCCTGCGTAAATGCCACCAAATAGGGACTGTAGAACTAGTGCAATTTAATTTATATTTGAAATGTTGGATTGGATTCAATACATTGTTCATTAGCTTACCCTCCACGTGACTCTATCCCAATTCACTTTTGATGATGATTAGGAGTTGGATTTGAGCTTTCTGTCCCTTTTATGATTTTAAGGATTCCCAGTCCCCAACCTACCAGCATTGCCAGTTCCCTTCATCTCAGTGATGAAGATTTATTATTTTAACAACATGGGAGCACCCCTGAAAGATACAAGAGTGTTATGTGTTCCGTCTTCCTCCTCTTCTCCCGACTCCTCCCTCCCTGAAAGCCTGAGGATGCGCTCAGTCTGGAGTAGCAGCCCAGGGCGACGCAGGCAGACAGCACCGCCTGCCTCGGAGCAGCCGTGGGTGTGTACCTGTGTGGGCGCAATAACCCAAGTACAACAGCTTGTTCATAAGCTTTATCATCCAGCCGTACTCGCGACTTCATAGCTTCAGTTTTGCAATAATTCTTTTTCTCAAAGAGTGTGTGTGGGTGGAACACTTGAGTGGAACACAACCTGCCCTGACCTGTATCAGGATATTTTTTAAACGCCTTGGTCTTCCTCATGCTCTTCCTACCCAGCACCACTAGATGTCAGTATCACTTCAAAAGCCTAGAGTAATGGCCGCCGTCTCAGCTCCGTTTCTGCTTTCCCACGCTTTTTACTTTTCTTTCCTCCTAGCTCCCCATTCTTATCTGACCAATTTTTGGCAAGGCTGTTTCAATACATTCATTTCTGAGCTACAGCAGGATCATATCACTTGGGAAAGAGTAATCCCTGTTAATATTCGGACCTTTCATTGATAATTAGAAGCAAGTCCAATTGATTTCCTCACTTTGTTGGTTTCAATCATGCTGCCTGGTAATTTAGTGATGTGGGGACACCAATGTTACTTTTTAATCATAAGCTTAAAATGTCTGGCTTCCCAGAGAAGTCCACTATCTGGTGAGTAAACGGTGGTTTATTGATCAGTGATTTATTGATAAGCCCATATTTTGGCTCTCACTTCCATAAATTTGCAGCCTGATATGTGATTAAAACTCCCTGTTTTGTATAGGAATTTCCAAGCTTCAAAGAGCCACACTTTATTTTAAGTATTTTGTATTTAATGAACTGTCTTCCCAATTTACTTAATTCATATCTTTTAAAACTTTATATATTTGGGGGCCGGATGCGGTGGCGGGCGCCTGAAATCCCAGCTACTCGGGAAGCTTAGGCAGGAGAATTGCTTGAACCCAGGGACGGAGGTTGCAGTGAGCCAATACGGTGCCACTGCCCTCCAGCCTGGGCAACAGAGTGAGACTCCATTTCAAAAAAAAAAGAAAATAATTCATAGATTTTAATTATGGTATGTTTGCTTTTGACTTTTCCCAACTACAGATTCTTAATCTCTTTCACAGGACAGATGCTCCATCTCATTTTCAGGGCCATTATCTTTCTTTGGGTGGTAATCAAGCAGCCACCATGTTGCTTTCTGCAAAGCCAAGAAAATGTTTTGTTTTCTCCCTAAATGTTTTACCCTAAATTTTAGTTGTTTGATTTGTTTATGGCAGAATTTTAGGTTGATATCCCACAGACACAGCTTTTTTAAAGCACAGTATCACCATCCTGGTCAACATGGTGAATTGAAAACCCTAGTAAAAATACAAAAATTAGCTGGGCATGGTGACACATGGTGGTGCATGGGTATAGTCTCAGTTACTTGGGAGGCTGAGGCAGGATAATCGCTAGAACCTGGGAGGCGGAGGTTGCTTTGAGCCGAGAACTCACCACTGCACTCCAGCCTGGTGGCAGAGCAAGCCTCCATCTCAAAAATAAATAAATAAATAAATTTTAAAATATAAAGTACAGAAACTCCATGAACTCTCGTGGGGAGTTCAAAGTCAGCAAAGGGGGCAGAGGTCCCCCGGGTTACTTATTTTTTCCAACTTTTCTAGCTTGACCCCTGATTCTCTCAGGACCTCGTGTTGGATGTTTTCCAGTTCCAGTTATTTATCTGTCTGTTTTGTTGTTTTTTTTTTAACTTATGTCTAGAACATCTTGTTCATTTATCTTTATTTTTCCCTTGTTCCTCTCCGCTTACCATGGTTCATCCTGTATTTGGAATACAGATTGTTCTGCCTGAGATTCTCCTCAAGTCCATTCACATTCAAATTCTGCTGCCAGGTCACAAGAGTTAACAAGTAAAGAACAAAGTAAAAAAAAAAAAAAAAAACCTTATTCTTTTTACATGTATTATCCTACAGTACCCCTTTGACACTAATGATTTTCAAGAGGATGAAATGATTTTCCCACTGAGCTCTGTTTTTGTGTACATAATCAACTCATGTAGACCTTACTTCCTCCCTTCACTGGTATCTAATTTTCCAGCCATCTCTACAGTGCCTTGATTCCACCATTCCACCTCACCCAAAAAATTGCAGAAGTAGCTGCAATTTATGCAGCCATGTCTCCAGGTGCATAACTTTCACTAATTTTTCGTAAAGCAGACATGATAGGAAATGATACAACCTAGATAAGTGCTTTGAAACTGTGGGGTGCTACCTGTGAATGATGTTCTCCTCTCTTCTATTTTAATCGGATATTTTGTTTTATTTTCCTCTAATATCCTTCCCTGGAGGTCAGTTGGGGCTTTGCTTTTTTTTTTTTTTTTTTTTTTTTTTTTTTTTTTTGAGACAGAGTCTCGCTCTGTCGCCAGTTGCCAGGCTGGAGTGCAGTGGTGCATTCTCGGCTCACGGCAACCTCCGCCTCCCGGGTTCAAGCAATTCTCCTGCCTCAGCTTCCCGAGTAGCTGGGACTACAGGCCCGTGCCACCACGCCCAGCTAATTTTTGTATTTTAGTAGAGAGAGTTTCACTGTGTTGGCCAGGATGGCCTCAATCTCTTGACCTTGTGATCCACCCACCTTGGCCTCCCAAAGTGCTGTGATTACAGGCGTGAGCTACCGCGCCCGGCCGGGGCTTTGCTTTGAGCAGCCTATCCTCCTGATCTGCAGCTTGGATTTCTCAGGGACTTTCAAAGACAAGTCCCTCCAGGAATAATCTTTTTTTACTTTTCTTGTGGTGTTTTTGTCTGGTTGTTTTCGGTTTTGATACAAAATGTAGCCACTGAGTAGATGCAGATTGAAAGTCCAGGCAGTCTCTGGTCTTATCTATTCCCAGTGTTGACATAACACCAGAAACAATGGATTAGGTGTCCTTAAGGGATAGTTCAGCCACTGACAGGATACCGTCTCCCCAAAAGGGAATATATTTTCTCCAAACCTAGTGTTGAAAAATACAGGTTAGGCTGAGGTACCAACCCAGTGATGTTTGAAGTATTAATTTTATTTTTTTGTATGAAGTTGTTACACAAGAGGCTTCTTAAAATCCTGTGGATATCTTGACTGGATCTTCTTTAAATGTTATTTCTAGTGCTATTACTTATGGAGAAACTCTGGGAAATAAAGAAGAAACACTGTGAAATTACCCTACTTCTTGGCAGAAAGATATATTTTGTTAATTTCATCTTGGTTTTCATTCAAGTATAAACTTTTACATGATTGTGCTCATATTATATGTATATATGTATATGTATGTATATGTGCACTAATTTACATCTTATTTACATTCTAGTTTCTCACTTAGCATTTTATTATGTAGCATGTATAGTATCACAAGTTTCCTAAAATTCTATAAAGCTCATTTTAAGGACTAACGTTTCATTATGGATACACCACTGCATACTTAAACCAATCTCCTTTTTATAGGACATTAAATTGGATTATTTCCCACTTTTTACTATTATCTGTGCCCACACCATTTAGTAGCACTTTATTAATTATACCACCACCAACAATAGGTAAAATGGACTGTCTCAACAAACTTGTCAACATTAAATACTTTTTCCTTTTAGCTTTGTCCACTACATAGATAGAAAATAATTGTTTTAACTTATTTTTTATTCTTTGACTATTTTATTCTTTGAATATTTTAATATTTCCTCAGTTTACTTCAAAAATCATTTAACAGGCAAGCATAAGCTAAGTCCTAGGCATCAGGAATAAACAGACATAGTCCCTAACTTCCAGGGAATACTTGGCCTAGTGGTTGATGTCCTTTATTTTTGTCTATTTACACATGTTACTAATTTGACTTTATCACAAAAATAAAGGTATCAATTTTCTGTCATAATTCTAGAAAATATTTTTCTCTCCCTGTTTCTGGTTTACCCTATGTTATTATTCTTTTCACCTTTTTTAATATGTAGTAGATTGAGATTTTTATTTGTAATTTATTCCACTGCTCTTAATTTTAGAAATTCCTTTCCTAAAGTAAACAGAGAGAAATTAATATTTTTCTCTATATTTTTAATGACAATTTATTAAACTACCTAGAATTGACTTTAGTGTATGATGAGGGGATATCCTTTTTTCTTCAAAATAGCCCCATGATTTTGATTGAATTTTGATTCAATCAAAATTTTGATTCATTTGATTCATTCAATTCAATGAATTTTGATTCATTTCCCTTAGCATTAAGTGATAACAATCTAATGTACAGCATGGTGAGCATAGTTCGTAGTATTGTACTGTATACTTGTATCCTTGAAATTTGCTAGGCAAGGAGATCTGTGTTCTCACCACACACACACACACACACACACACACACACACACACACACACAAAATACATATATATATAATATAAATATAAACTGTTCGGGATGGTGAATGTGTTAACTAGCCTGATTGTGGTCATTTCATAATATATATGTATATCAAATCATCACATTGTACACCTTAAATATATATAATTTTCATCATACCTCAGTAAAGTTAGGGGGAAAAGATTCCACTGTTTTTTTAAAAAGCCACATTGTTCTAAGCTCTGTTATTAATCAAATACTTTTACAGTTGATTCTCCTGGATTTTCTAGTTACAAAACTGTATCTCTGTAAATAATGAAAATGGTTTCCTTTAACACCAGATCCTGATCATTTAAACTGTCACAGTGTAAAATACTATATCTTTGCACATACCTGCTCTGAAACCTGTTTTTGTCTTTTGTTCCAGGAGCAGTACATCTTTATCCATCAGTGTGTGCAACTGATGTGGATGAAGAAGAAGCAGCAGTTCTGCATCAGCGACGTCATATATGAGAATGTTAGCAAGTCCTAGTTCAGAATCTGGAGCAGTAAGTGGAGAAGAGCTTGTCACGGGTGCTCTAAGAACTATCAGAGGGGGACATGATGGATGGGACAAAAGACAGCAGTAGCCATTTGTACAGTATTGACTCTGACTTCACATGGGTGTTCCTTCCCAACTCCTGGCCTCACATGGGTGGTCACAGGGAGAGACAAGTACTGTAGCAGATCTTTGAGTTTCAATGCACCTTGGTTGCTGTTAGCAACAAACAAGAGCTTCTGCACCTCATGATGCCTCATCTCCATTCCCTCTACTGGGAACTATACATTATTCTGTTATTGGATCTGTGCCTGTAGTATCAGGACGCTACCATCCAAATCTATCTAGATATCTCGTGCAAATATTTTGTTGATTGCAAGGGTTGTACAGGGGGTTACGAAAAAGACATGAGCTGGATTGGACACTCCCAAAATCACAAACAGCACCGACAATAGAGTCTCAGGATAGCAGAGTCTGAAAAATGCCTTGATCTCACCCATTAGGTAAGCCGTTACTTAGAGCTTCATGAAGACACTTGTAACGTAGTCAATGCCCTGTACTCCAATTTTGACTAGTAGATCAGATTTTGGAGGTGTAAGTAATCTTGGCTAAGGTAACAGTAATCTTCCCATTTAGTTCAGTAAACGGACTGTAGAGTGTCTAACTATACTGCGGGGAGGGGAGCCAATGACAGGGTAGGGAGAGGACAGTGGTGCATGGGGGGAGAATCATGAAAATCTGGGAAGCATATGGACCAGTGGGCAGTAGGATAGGATTAGCATTGCAACTCTCATCCATAAAGAGAGACAGAGAGCACAATGGAACGGGAAGGATAAAGAATAAAGACAGAGAAAAATAAATTTGCTGAGAGGGGGAAAGTCATTCAGACCCACAAAAAGGAGGCAGCACACAGAGAGAGATGCACAAATCAACCCACATCTGCATGGGTTGTGGGACTGAACTTAGTGAGAGCAGTGGTGGGGAAGGGGGAGGCTGCTGCGACCGCAGGCAGCTTACCATCTTACTCTGTCTCGTTCACAGGAGAGGACACGATGTGCACCCATCCGCCCTTGCTTCCAGATTGTTTTGGGGGCCCCTGATAGTCATTTTGCTAAAAAAAAAAAAAAAAAAAAAAAAAAAAAAAAAAAAAAAAAAAAAAAAAGAGGCCCTGCTTTGTAATATGTGGCCAAGGAGATAATTTATCTCACAGAAGCACCGGGAAGACTTAGCCTTAAAGAGCCTACAGTGTCTTTTTGGACTCTTTCACTTCGGGACATTTAATAATGGACCAAATTCAACAGAACACCAGGAAGGTCAAGATACTCTCCAAAGGGCAGGAAGTACCGCACTTCCGAGTTTAGTTGCCCCTTTGCTGGTTGGGCTGAGATTTTTTGTTTTTAGATGTTTTTTTTAAGTGCAATAATTTTTGTATGTGTGTGATTCTTATCAGAAAGTTGAATTGTTTTCTGCCCACACCATTCAACAGCCCGTAACCCAGGAAAGAACAGGCATTGTTAGCATCAGATTATACCTCATTATTAAAAGGAGTCACGGCCACACATGAAGAAATGGTCATTCTACTTCAAGGAAATTGAACCAGTGCTATCTGTACTCCAACATTACCAGATCTGGACTGGGGAGGGTGGACAGGAACATTCTACCCACAGATCAACTGTGTAATCTTTTCCTATTCCAAATATGAAAAGCTATAATTCAACTTCTAAGTAGAGTAGAAAAAAAATTGTCTTAACTGTTCTAGTTCTTGATGGTTTCCTTCCTTCCTTATTAACAGTTGGGTGTTTCTTCCTTGGCCCTTTGGACTAATGTTACTGTCCAAGTCCTTTTTCAAGAAACCACATCTGGTTCAGAAGAGTGTCAAGTCGGACTCTTTAAACTCCGTTGCTGTCTGAGCAATCTTGCTGCCTAGACCTTGCATCCCTCGTTCTGTTGACCTGCATACATGTGAGAGCTATTTCTTTAAGAACTCTAGGCTGTGAAAACGCACTTTCTTTCCCCCAAAGAGCTGGGAATTTATGAAGTTATGGCAGTGAACTGCAGCATGCTGGGACAATTATTTGACTACATTTTCTTTGTAATATCGTCAAGTGTCTCTATGGATTCTGACAGAGATTTCTCTTTGTTTTGTTACCCTTTCGGTTGTCAGCTTCATTTTAACGAGTGTAACTAGTAACATTTTATTCTTTGGATTTTGTATAATTACAGTACATGATTGTGTATTGTGACATGAATGCTGTCAAAATGGACGTTGATGGCATTGAGAAGCCTGTTACTTTGTGTCACCTTCTGAGAAATAAGAGGTGATGACATAGATATGCAACAGAAAACACTTTGAGTTGAAAGTAAACACAAGCTGGCTGCTTCCCTGTGGCAACTGTGGCTATTGTGAGCCTCCCTGCGTGTGCTTCCAGGAGGCTTTGCTCATCTCCATGCACCTGACACTGCCCCTTCCCCTGGCTTCCCTCCATCCCTGATCATCTTCGTGAAGCCACAGATATAAGATCAGCTTACTATTTTATCAGTGACCTTAGCGATGGTGAAGGATGCCAGATGAACAGCTCTGCACCCCACCGTCTCTTGTCACGGAGAAGTCCTGGCTATGGCAGACCTTGGCAAAGTTTCTTGCAAGATCTGGCCAGCGAGTCTCAGTTTCACCTTGCAGGGTGAGTGGCAGAGGATATCCATACCCTGCAGGTTAACAGCTTGGGCTCCTCAGGGATTGTCGGTTCCTACTCACCTCCCTGCTACCACCTCCTCCTTTTCTTCTCACCCCCCACTCCTCTATTTCCCTTTTTGGACATTTTAATAATAGATCACACCATTCTCAGGAACAAACATGGTTAATGAAAGGTGGCAAAGGGATGTGTGACATTCTTAGATTTTCACACATGGACAGTCAGGAGTGAAATGTGCAACCTTGGAAGAGCTGATACAATGTATGGGTAAGCTGAAATACATTTCCAGCTCTGCCACTCAGAAGCAAACAGACATTTTTGCAGCCTGGAACATTGCTTCCCATGAAACAAGCCCCTTCATAAATATTTTATGTGTTTCTTGAGCATCCCTTTAAGGTAGGGATCAAATAGTGCTAGATCAATTTTCCCAAAAGGAAAGAGGACGTGTCCAGAGTTAGACTGAAGGCTCAGAGTCGAAACTACAGGAAAGTCACACTGTTCACTGGAACACTGTTGCTCCTCAGTTTGTAGAGCTTGTGATGGAAAAGGCATCAACCTATCAAAAGAGTACTCATCCCAATAATGACTTTGGAATTATCTCTCCTGGGTCTCGGTTAATAAACTGAAGAAAGACCTAATCATAGCTCCATATCTTGCAGGTGTAAGAAGTGTCAGATATGATAATTCACCCAAGGTGCTTCGTGTCTTGTTCTCTCGTGTACGTTCCCTAAGGCTACTCTAACAAGCTCTGTTTCCACACCAGGACCCAACTTCAAGCATTCAAAAGGGAGGCTTCCGGAGCCTCTGTATTATTAATTAGGGTTTTTAAAATGCATTTGAGTAGTGCTTTGTTATGAAAGAACACAGGGGCATTAGCACATGCATCATAATAGCCTGTATGGCACACAGAAAGAGCTAACAACTTGAGCATTACGAAACATTTCGCTTTGAATGCTATTTTTTTCTTGAGACAGAGTCTCTCTCTATTGTCCAGGCTGGAGTACAATGGCATGATGGTATGATCTCAGTTCGCAGCAACCTCCATCTCCTGAGTTCAAGCGATTCTCTTGCCTCAGTCTCCCGAGTAGTTAGGATTACAGGCACTTGCCACCACACCAGGCTAATTTTTTGTATTTTTAGTAGAGACAGGGTTTCACCATGTTGGCTGGGCTGGTCTCAAACTCCTGACCTTAGGTGATCCACCTGCCTCCACCTCCCAAAGTGCTGGGATTACAGGCATGAGCCACTGCGCCCAGCCTTGAGTGCTATTGAGATCAAATTCCTTGGCTGTAAAAGATAATTTATGAAGTTAATTGAGAAACAACTATTAGGATCAATTAATAAATGTAATAGTTGACACCAGTGTATCCATTACTACATATGATATGATTTTATTTAACTTGAAAAGAAGAAAGTGATGGATGACAGCATTTTTTGGAAGAGCATTTTAATTCACGGTCTACAATTTCCCACTCTAAAGACAATATTGCCTCCAAAATGTAAAATTAGAAAAGTCACTATGTTTTTTGACTATCAGATTTTATAATGTCTCTCCTTTCCTAAACGCTGTTCCTACTCCCAAAAAGGTGACACAGGTCTCAAAGGAGGCTGTAATGTCAACAGGCAAAGTGGGATCAGGGGCTTTCGATTTGAATTTTTTGCAGGCCACTTGGTAGTTGCTTGCTAGAGGATTGGCCCTTAGCCAAAGAGTTAAAGTTACTGAGTCCAATCTCTAAGAGCCAAAATTCTTCCTGCTTTCTAGCAAGAAGGACTTCCTTTACACCTCAGGAAACATCTGATGTAATGTGCTTCAAATAGCTGGCTCACTTCCTAGCTCACAGATCTCTAGCCTGGTACTTGGCACAGAGATGAAGTCCAAGGGCCATGTTCATCACTGAATATAACATTCACTTTGGCCAAAGGGGTTATGGAGCAACAAAATATAACACGTGAAACCTGCAAACTTCCACCCCTGATTTTTAATAGCCTAATTTGGAACCATTTGAAAGAAACTTCAGCCGTGACATCTCTGACCCCTGGCCTTCCAGAACAGTAAGATTTTTGCTTTTAGTTTTATCTGGTGATTATCACAAGGCCTTTTCCTGGTGGGTCACTTGGTTAAAAATGGAGTATAAGGTTTAGCTCTGGGAGTTGCATCATAAGAGGGACGTGAACAGACTGAAGGCAGTCCTGACACGGTCCCTAGAACTGTTGGAAATGTGGAGAAATAACAGGTTGTAATAAGAAAACCTGGGAAAACTGGGGCTAACCTGGAGTAAAGGAAGTCATTTATTGAATCACTCAGTCAACAAATGTGTGTTTATCTAATCATGTCGGAAGAATCACTCGATCAATCAATCTAAGATTTCTTGACCACTTGCAATATGGTAAGCACAAATATGAAGACTTTTAAAAATAAGCTATCTAATCAGTTTTCATACTGTTGTTGGAAGATTCAAAAAAGCATTAGTCAAGTCTTTTTCAACATTTTTTACTTAGATCTTCCAAAACCTTGTGAATATATATTCTGGACATACCCACCAGCCATCATATTTAATGATGTTAAGTAATTTCCCCAATGGCTTATATAACAGAAATAACAAGTATTCATTGTTTTTGTTACTCATAAACCACTAGAGACCCTGACATGGTCGCTCTTCCTTGATAAGAGTCACCAAACTAGTTTTGTCCTCCTACTCATAACAAGAGTCTCCTCAACCATATTCCTGGTAGACGGCTAAGTCTATTCACTGAACACTTTTAGTGGGAGGGTTTACCTTAGGAGCGATTCCTCCCTTTATTTTTCTGGAAGCATTTTTTCACTTGTTTACATACCCAAGGACCTTGCTAACATTAAGAATGTATGAGTCTGTGCCTCCCATGGGCATAGGCTTGAAGCCCAAATCTACTTCCCCATCTTGGAAAAAAAATAAAAAATAAAACAGGTTCTGTGGCTGCTTTGAATACCAGACTGGCTTCTCACTTGCCAGCAAAGGAGATGGCACTTACGGCTGACTCAAGGAGCAATGGGGGTTTCTTTCTAATGTGCTGATCCCTTCATATTCATATTCTCAACTTCAAAACATCATTAGGAGGTGAGAATGCTCATTTACCAGGTGACAAAGTTGAGGGATGATTAAGTGAAGAGGCAGTGCAGTTAAATTACAACAACAGGGTTAGGAAGTGGCGGAAGCAGGATTCCAAGCCAGCTCTTCCCAGCCCTAAACCTTTTCCCTTACTAATTCATGCTGTTTCTCGTTCATACTTAGCATGGATAAAGGGTAGTGGGATGGAATTCATAGCTTCATCCCCAGGTAATGTGTTTAATCTAGAGGGTAAGCATTCAATTTGAGAAATGGTAAATCTCTAACCTAAGAAAATCATTTATTTCTTGAACCTCTCATGCCAAGCACCAATGAAGCAGT